CCCTCCCTCTCCCCCCTCCCACCCTCACTCACTCAAATTTCCTCCCTGACACCCGGCGGGCGCGCGAGGGAGCACTCTCCCTAGCTGAGTGCTTCCTCTTCAGCTCCCTCGCACGCGCCGCGTACTGATGCCGGAGCCAGAAGGGCATTGTGATGTCACATGGGGGGGCGGTAAACTTTACTTTTGCCTAGGGTGTCAAAAATCCTTGCACCGGCCCTGGTTCTACGCTAATCACCCGGATGCAAGGAGGGCAGGCGTAGCCATACTCTTCGCCCACATGGTCCCATTCCGCTGCACTGCCACACGAGCTGACCCTGGTGGGAGATATCTTTTCCTAAAAGGCACCATGGCGGACCACACATACACCTTTGCATGCATATACAGCCCCGATATAGCCAGCCTAGATAAATTCAGAGAGGGCCTCCTGCCGCTAGCAGGGGACCTAAACATCCCACTAGACCCACACCTAGACACATCATGGGGCACAAGCACTATGCCGGCGCACTGCATCGGCACGGCCCTACGATCCCTGGGCAGGCTGGGGCTGGTGGATTACTCAGCCGTGCATGGGCAGTACAGTCGCATAGACCTTGTATTTATGTCACAGGAATGCCTAACACTACTCCACGACGCAAACATAGGGATCATACACCACTCAGACCATGTACCAGTCACAGTATGCACAAACTCCCCCCTGTTCAAACCGAAAGAACGTCAATGGAAGCTCAATGACCTAGTGGCCCGCTCCACCACCACCCAGACCCTCACCCATTACTTCGATACCAATAACACACCGGACATATCCCCACTGACTTTATGAGAAGCACACATGTGTGTCATACACGGCCACTGTATTACTATATGCACTCAACATAAAAGAGACAGGGCACAAAACATAACAGACCTGACCAGCTACTGCCCGATATTGCTGTTGAATGCAATCTTGAAACTGTTCACTAAGGAACTGGCCCTGAGAATTTCAGGGACCCTACCAGACCTCATTCACCCAGACCAAGTCGGGTTTGTCCCTGGTAGGGAAACAAGGGACGATACCATCCGAGCACTTAATATCATCCACGCCTCCAGGATCTCCGTCCCTTTAGGGAGACCGTCCTCTTATCGACAGACGCCGAAAAGACATTCGTCCGAGTGGACTGGACCTTCGTAACTGAGACTCTGTACTGTAATAATTATGTGCACCAATAGATCTACGTATCACAGCCTGTAGAAAATACAGCTGTCAGTATCCAGTGACTAGGAGAAACTGTATGTTTTTAGTAGCAAGCTTAATACAGCAGTTGGTATGTTTTTACTGAGAAATGATTTTAAGACAGAGAAAACTGTTAAATATGCCCTTTAATATAATGGGACTGCTCTCTCAGTCAAGCACTGCTGCATCATTTTAATGTCCTATTCTACTAGCCTTTGTGCCTGTCACTTGTTATTGCTCCCGAGTCCTGCAAAAATATATCAATCTATTTCACAACAATTGTGAACTTCAATTGTTGATATTTTTCTTTTAAGCCACGTACAACATATAAAACGTAGTGGTTTTTACGGGCGTCTTCTACAAAGGGTGAAGGGTAGACGTTATGTTGAAGACTATTTTACTGCTCAAAATGATTGGATAACAACCTGCTATGGAATGGTGTCTGACAGTTGCATGGTGCTTTGTATTATTTTAACACAATCCCAGCTAGCTATTGTTTAAGACATTTGCATATGTTAGTAGCATAATTTTAATAAGCATTAAAACATCTATTTTTTTTTCAAGTGAACATGAAATTCTGACGCACCTTCCTATTTCCAGATCTCTGCAACAGCTTTAAAATATATCCATAATTTTAGTTAGTAAGGAAAATAAAATCAAATACAGGGTCAAATAAATGTGAGTGACTGAAATTATCAAGCACTTAATGTTGGAGAATGCCAAAAGGCATTGAATCTAGCTTTTAAAATGTTGAGTAAAATCCCGGACAGGTTGAAGCATTGACAAGCCATGCTTCTATGAGTGGTAATTATTCTCCATTCATTTATTTGGAGTAAAGAAGTCATTATATCACACTTGACTTGAGCAATAACTGATATAATTCACTAATGTGTGATTATTAGGACTTCACAGTGAATTCATAGCGAAGAACAAACTAGCCAAACTAAAAACAATGCCATTGGCTAAGTCCAAATAATTTTGAGCAATGAAACCTTTTGTCTACCTAAATGTGAGTGACTGAAATTATCAAGCACTTAATGTTGGAGAATGCCAAAAGGCATTGAATCTAGCTTTTAAAATGTTGAGTAAAATCCCGGACAGGTTGAAGCATTGACAAGCCATGCTTCTATGAGTGGTAATTATTCTCCATTCATTTATTTGGAGTAAAGAAGTCATTATATCACACTTGACTTGAGCAATAACTGATATAATTCACTAATGTGTGATTATTAGGACTTCACAGTGAATTCATAGCGAAGAACAAACTAGCCAAACTAAAAACAATGCCATTGGCTAAGTCCAAATAATTTTGAGCAATGAAACCTTTTGTCTACCTAAATGTGAGTGACTGAAATTATCAAGCACTTAATGTTGGAGAATGCCAAAAGGCATTGAATCTAGCTTTTAAAATGTTGAGTAAAATCCCGGACAGGTTGAAGCATTGACAAGCCATGCTTCTATGAGTGGTAATTATTCTCCATTCATTTATTTGGAGTAAAGAAGTCATTATATCACACTTGACTTGAGCAATAACTGATATAATTTAGATCAGTGTTTCCTAAACCAGTCCTGATGGCCCACCAACAGTCCAGGATTTATGTATTTCCCTTTTTTTATTCCAATGGAGATACTGACAAAACCTGGACTTTTGTTGGGTCTTGAGGACTGGTTTGGGAAACATTGATTTAGATCATCTTACCTAATCCTCTACACTGTAAGCTCGTTTGAGCAGGGTCCTCATCAACCTATTATTCCTGTAAGTTTTTGTAATTGTCTCATTTATTGGTAAATTTCCCGCTCTTGTAATATTGTAAAGCGCTGCAGAATATGTTAGCGCTGTATAAATGCCAATAATCATAATAATAGTAATAATAAGTGGAACAGAAGGCTTTGTTAGAACAAATGGGTTAACCTATGATTAGGTGAAAGAGGATTAAATCTAAAACTGTTACAACTTTGTGACGTAAAGTATGAGTTTTTATAAATGGTTTGCCTAAGTTCCTTGTGTGCCATGCTTGCCTATAGCCTTGAGGTTATCATTGAAAATCACATAAAGCACGCAGATGTTAAATATGTACTTTTAACTCAACAAAGGCTTTCTAGAGTTTGCAGGCTTTTTCATACCATACAATATCTGTAAAATGTGAGATCACTTCCCATGCAGTTCTCAATCAAATATTCTGCTCGCAAAAGCACACAAAACGCAGGGGTTGGCAACTTTCGGCTCTCCAGATGTTGTGTACTACATCTCCCATAATACTATTTACAGCCATACTGCTGGCAAAGCATCAGGGGAGATGTAGTCCACAGCATCTGGAGTTTCGAAAGTTGCCTAACCCTGGCCTCAATTTCCTACAGTTGTTATTTGCCATAGTATATATTTTGTATAATATGACACCTAGTAAAGGTGCCATGTCTTAAAATTCACAGCCTCATATTCGTTGTCATCAACCTTAAGTTCTAAAGATCATATTTGCCAGAGAAGCCACTGTGTCCAACAAGTACGCCACCACCCAGTGTGTTAAGCAAGTGGGCAGTAGCCACCACATCTCACAATACATAGTACGAGTGCTACAATACTGTGATAAGCAAAATCCAGAGTCAAGGACTCACACCTCTACATATCTCTTATGGAAAATTTACAGATTTTGCGTGACAAATCCTCTGCTCGGAAAAAACAAAACAAACATAAATCATTTGTAGAAAAAGCTAGGAAGACGTAAGTTCTGTGCTTGTTACAAAAGATCCTAATTTGGGCTGGAAATGTTTTATTTTGAAATGTGTAAATGTGTCTATGGATTTCACAAAGCTACTCACCATTCTTACATTTTCTCTGACACTGGACTGACAGACTCACGTCTTTTATTGAAGCCCAAATTCTGACCTCAACCTTGCCTTCTTAGAACTGAGTGTTAAATCTCCGAAATGACATTGGTTGATGGTATCATTTGCTAGGGCTATTTAAACCATTTGTACCTAAGTTGCCATTTTGTAGCTTCTGCACCCATAAAGTCTTATTTTTTTGCATTTTCCTTGCAAATCAAGTGTTAACTGTTGTTTCTCTGTGTTCCCACTTGTTCTCCACTTGTGACCTTTTTTTATTTATATACCGGACAAATCACTGCTTTATACCTTTCAAACTCAGTTACATATTTGTCTAAACTAGTCTACTACTATCGGATTCCGGATTGCGAATCTTTAGTTCAGAATGCACACCTACCTCTTTTTAGAAATTAACTTTATTTTACACCTCGGATGTTCCATTTCTTTGTTTCTTGGTCTAGACATTTGATTGCTCCCATCATGTTTTAACCATAGTAGTATATAATATATAAAATATATAGGATAGTTCTTAGGTTCTTATTTCATCTTTCTATTGTGGCTGAAAGATACTGATTTAAGAAAAGTTTCCACTGCATTTAACATGTTGTGTTTTCTCTCAAGCATTTTATATTGAAGCTTTGAGTATATGGATGCAATAAATTAAATAATAATGGAATGACAGTACTCCCTGGTCCTTTGGTTCAGAGCAGACAGAGCAGGTCCAAAGGTACTTGGCAAAAAGTCAGCTTCATTTTATATCACCCAGAAGATTTGAATTAATTCAGCAGCAGTGCATAACTTTCATACGAAATCATTCTAACATAGGACAGGACAAAATCACTGAAAAACAGCAACATGTTTGTGTGCAGTACTCACGTTGAGCCTTTTCTTTTCTCTGTTTCAATAATAAAATGTTTAAATGTTGATATTTTACCTGTTTTAATTTAACATCCCTTTGTAATTTTTATTACTTATATTATGTATTATGAACTTGTAATTCATCTCCCAATCGTAATATTTTATCCTGTTCATCATGTGTTCATTTTAATATAAATCTTTTGGCAGGTTTCTTTCTTTAAATGTGGGGATTGATTATTTAAAAATAAAGCTGTATTTTTTACATTATTTACTTGAGCATAGGAAATATTTACAACCGTATGTGTTATATGTATTTTTTCTTAAATTTCTAATGCATTGTTTACACAACCCGCGTACAATAGGATTATAAGCTCAAAACACAGCTTCAAGTAATGAAGGAACAGAAAGTCTGGAGACTACAAGTGTTCCTTAATTATTTAACAAGTTTGCTAAGTCAGAAGGGTAAACTAAAAAATAAGATGGAAAATTGTCTCATAACTGAAAATGTAACAGACATCTAACTCGATGAGTCTTCTTAACTAATAAATGAGTCTGCAAAAAAAAATATAAACAAGGAATTGTTCAAAAATAGGCAACTGAGGATTAAAAAATAGTTAATTTAGAATGCTGAAATCCAGTCTCATATCTATTAAATATTCTGCTGGCAGCAATTTGGTTGACTATGCATTTTACAACCCAAAACCTCAGATTTTCTTCAATGTATTTTTTAAAAAATATGTAATTTTAAAGTGCAATCAAAAGTCGAATTATTAAGTAGATTAAATAGATTAGGGTTAATTAGACCAACTTCTTTATTAAAACCTACTTGTATGAACAGGTAAAGGTAAGACATGAAATTATATTATTTATTAAATAGATTTTTAGAATTTTTATTTGAGTGCTAACTATATAAAGTATCTGAGTAACAT